GTTCGGCGACGGGGGGGAGGGGGGAGGAGGGGGAAGATTTGCACTTTTGTTACGTCTCATCGACGTGTCGACCCATTCAGAGAGGCTCTTCGTGTGTTGACAGGTTTCATCATTGTGTCTTCATGAGCTTGATCCAGCCCCACAGGAGTGTGCTGGTTTCATGGTCAAGTGTGCAAACCGGAACTAGTGGAGCAATGAAAGTACAAAATACCCCCCCGTCGCCGAACTGCGCCCAACATATGATACCCAACGGAGTTTATATGTCTAGAAAAGTAACTAGCGAAAGGGTAAAATTCCCTTACCCCTTCTCCTTTCTTCCCACCTCTAAGCCGAACAGCGCCAGCGCCAAAAAAAATCCCAAAAGACTCAATTGGTAAGTTTCCATTAGAACAACACTTACCTGCTCAACGATGTTGTGTTGACCACGGACAACTTGCGTTCGTAGAATCTCGACAACGCTCTAAAATGCATTTTTCTCGTTTTGATTAAGGAAAATGCGATTCTACTCACATTGAGTTCATGATTCCTCCTATGAAGTTGCTCCTTCTCTCGTTCACTAACGTGACAACGAAGCGCGTAGCGTTCCAGCTGATCACGTGCGTCAGCCTCATTGAGCTTCTTAAAATATTAAAAATAAAAAGGAGACAAGTGGACAAACCAGTATAAGGCGCGCCTGACGGGAAAAATCAGAAACCAAAAAAACTTGGAAGCTAAATACGCTCCCTATTGCTTTTCTAGCATAGATGATATTCTAGGAGAGGTTGATTCAATCAATTTAAAAACGTGATGGGTTAAAGGTTCCAAAGTGAAGATATCCTGTCGGCGGTAATTTCTACAGAATTTCCAGCAGGGTGCACCCACAGTGTGAGCAGTCAAACTTTCTGAGGTAGATTACCACTGAAAAGTGAAACATACGTTTAGTTCGTTCAACTCTGCTTCAAATGAAAGCGATGGTTGAGCAAAGAAATTTCCATCTCCATAAATGTTGCAGATCTTCTGCATATCTAGAGCCAGTTTGGAGAATATCTTGTCCATTTGACCGGAGAGCCTGAAACTGACAAACGTTTAAACTGCATTCATGTCAACTGCCGAAAAACAACAACTAGGCGACTTAGTACCACAATTTTTCCAAAAATTTCCCCCACCAAAAAGCTGCCGTCGAGGGGTGCAGGAGAACGGGATGTGCAGGCTTGGGAATTGGCTGATCTATTTGTATATCTCCACATGGAAAAAGAGAAACCATAATGAGTGGTGGATGCAAGTCTCCTTTTTTCAAACGAAGGTTTCCGAAGTGTGTTATTTTTTTGAATTCATTTTTTTCTTTCTATTTTGCAAAGTTGAGTGAAAGGGATCGCGACCCGTTCATAAAGCCACTCTGATAGAAATTTTTTCTCTGCGGCCCTTTTTTATCTCGGACTATTAATGCTACTCTTCTTTAATGTACTATAATTTCTTGTAATGTGATTTATCGGTCATTATTATTATCAACGTTTCATTTTCATCATCATCCTCGCTTGATCATTTTCAGGAGTCACTCCGAAGTGGGGAATGGCGTTCACGACTTACAGCCAGATGAGGAAGGATTCGACGATCACAGAGACGACGATCGAACATGTATTGAAAACAAGTCTGTAATGACCAGTGAAAAGTGTGTTATTATGAACTTTTTGAGATTGTTATTTTAGTTTGGACTTGACTCACTCTCTCTTCTTTAATGTTAAGGTCTGCGTTCAATGCTTATGCGCAGCCTTGAGCGTCGGTCAGCATCTGACCATTAGGAGGTATAGGTCTCAATCCAGTTTTGAGCGATCGCCTGCTTTTTCAGCAACTAGGAAAGTATGTGTATCGATCTAGGCGCTGGTACGCTCAAAGCGCATGTGGACCCTCGAAACGCTATGAAGGCACTCTTACATTTTGGATCAAGTGAAAGCGGCTTGAGGCATTCTTTTGCGAAATTACAAGATTTGCCGGTCTCACAAGGGAACCCCAACAGGTCGATCCGGCCATTTGCAGTGAGATGTATAAATATGGACGTGTCTTGAGCCGCCGAATCCAAATCTGCCCTCCGATTTTGCGGAACGATTCTCCAAAGGGTTATCGGACCATTTATCTTAGGTCCTGCTCAGTTGAGAAGGATATGGCCAGTGGATGGCCCTAGTGGATAAAGCGCATTGCTTCAGAGACACGAGGTCGAATGTTGGAATCCTTGGCTATCAATCTTTTGCTTTTCATTCAAAACACTTGGTATGAGCCCTCCGAAATTTCTATTTGGCCATTTCGCCTAATTTCTTGATTAGTTGCCAACGAAAGGCGGGCGATTCCCCATGTAGGGTTCCTCTTGAAAACTTTTTATGAGGATAACCACATGTCACAAGGGTTTTTGCAATGAAATACCATCATATTCATGTTCAGCGGGTCAAACTACCCCTGGGGACAAATTTCTAGCCGAATCTGATATTTCCACCTAACTTGGAAAATGTGTGCTGTTTCATGGGTAATCGAAAGCATAGGGGAGCTCACCTACCGTTGGTGAATGGTCTCGAGATGGAACTACCTCGTGGTAAAGAGGACGATGATGCAAACGGCAAGAATAAGTAAGCCGGGTAATGTCTTTGCGAAAAGGCACAAGAGGTATCTCAGTTGGAAAACCAGT